ATATTAATATAACCTGAAGACTAGTTCTACTATTTTGTGGGAGAAGGAAAACAAAGAAAGAAAAAAATCATAGCCAAAGCCTCAGTTGGCTTTTAAGCCATAGATGAGGGTGGCTTGGATGAGGGGAGGTACAAGATGGAGAACCAGGGGCTGGAGAGATGGCCCAGTGGTTAAGAGCACTGCCTGCTCTTGCAGAGGACCCCAGTTTGGTTCCTAGCACCCACATTGGCAGCTAACAGCTGTCTATAACTACAGTTCCAGTGGATCAGATACTCTCTTCTGACCTCAGCATGGGAAGGCAATATATTTACTTATACATATAAAATAACAATAAAATTTTATTTTCGGTCTTTTGAGACAGGGTCTCCCTGTAGTTCCAGCTGACCTGGAACTCACTAGGTAGACCAGGCTGGCCTTGAACTCATAGAGATCCACCTGCCTCTTCCCCCTGAGTGCTGGGATTAAAGGTGTGTGCCACCATGCCCGGCAACAATAAAATATTTAAAAAATTTTTTTTTTTAAATGGAGAACCAGAGAACCCTTGAGGTGGAGGGAAATAGCCATGATGGTTGGCCTATGGGAGGGGAAAACCAGGATGTGGTTTTGGGTTCTTTGGTGGTAGCCTTGGGGTCCTGATCAGGTATGGTGAGAAGGGGTGGTCCTGGCTATCCCTCACTGAACTGTGGCTGTGAGTAATGCTAGCTTCTCTCATCACCAAGAAGCTGCATCCCCCTTTTCTTCCTCCCCTTCTTCCTCGCTCCCATCTTATCACCCCGACTTCTTTTCTTCCTCCCCTCTCCTTTCTATTTCCTCTCTTCTCCCTGTTCTTCTCTATCTCCTGCTCTGATATTTAAGAGTGTGTAATTGGTACTAAAGGTCAAACTCAGGATACAGACAAGACCAAGGATCAAGGCCAAAGCCAGGGCTAAGGTTCAGAGCCAATATCAGAGGTTGGATGAGGTCAAAGGTGGGTGACAGATTGAGAAGACTGCAAATGTTCCCTCCTTTGACTTGCACCTTGCCTTAGTTTCTTGCCAGCCCTACACAGGTCAGAGAAGGAGCCCAGGGATGCTCAGGGCATCCACAAAAAGGCAATTTCACACTTCCATTAGAATTGGAAAAAGGCTCCAGCAATGACATGAGCAGCATCACAAGTGCCACAGAGAGCTGGAAATCCCAGATACCCGAACCCCTGGGGGCGATGTCCACTCAGGATCCTCCACTTTACAGGATTCTGAGTCCTGGATGTTGGGCATAAGTTCTAGGGCATCACTGCCAAGCAAGTCTAAATAAAACACTTAACCTCTGAGAACTTATGGGCTTTTGTGTGAACTGGTGATGATCTTGCCCAGCTCATAGAGTTCTCCTATGAATGGGATGACTCCGTGGATGAAGATCTTAGGGTATATCCCCATCTACCTGCCTGCCTATCTCTGTAAAGTAGGAACAATCAGCTGCTGCTGTGATAAATTCAAGAATTACAGTCCAATGGCAGAGTGAATAATAAAAGACCTAGCAAATACCTGTGTGGGTGGGAATGAATATTGTGAAACATTCCATCTTTTGAGGCCATCCTGCCCAATAGTTGTGGGATGTGAGTCACATGTGTCATCTTCTCACAGACACACTGAAACAAAGTAAAAAGAAACAGACATGATGGTGTAATAACAAATCCGCATGCCCCTGTAGTGCGGGAGGGGCTCCCAGCCCGCAACCAGCGAACCTTGCTATAGGACCAGAGGTACCAGGACCAAGAATTGCATAACCTTTGTGGAAGCTAGGGTTTGGAGATGATGGCGGTTGTTTGGGGGCGGGGCTAAGTGGGAGTGACAGCTGCCCGCGGAACTGAGGAAGAGGAAGGGCACAAAACTCTGCCTCTGGGAAGCCACAGACTTCCGGAGGTTCTCGAAGAGCGCTTGCAACAGAATAGCTTCCCGCAGGGTCTTGTGAAGGTAGCGGAGACCTCAGAGATTCTTGAAAGAGACAAAAGGGTGACAAAACGCAGAAGTCCGGCTTCTATGGGTTGTTTTTCCAAACTCAGGCCCCTCCCCAGCAGAACTCAGGCCCTGGGGTCCAGGAACCAGTGGTTTCTGCTTGGCGAGCTTGGACAGTTAGGACCCTGCTATTCGGGGGACTCTGAGGCTGCGAGTTTCCATCCTCTTCATCCAGAGAAGCGCTGTCCCCATCCAACACACACGCACATCACATACATCCACACTCACACTCCTCCCAAGCGCTTCTAACCTCATTCCCGCGTGCACAGAGATGCCTATTCGCTCACTAAACACCTGCAGCCCTCCGGGAAACCTCGATGAACAGTGCACCTCCGGGCTGAAGGCGGGTGCTGGGCGCCACCCTCGTCTGGAAGCCCGCGCAGGCGGGCAGGACACTGGGCATCTGTCGGGTTATTCTGTCGGCTGGACAGAGGTGTTCGTGGGCAGCGCCGAGAACCTCGTACTCCGCCTCTGGCAGTGGGCTCTACGATGTTTTAGAAAGTAACTTCTTTGACTAGAACCGTCTGTAGTGCCTAGAGTCCTGAAGTTTGGACCCTGAGGTGTGTGTGGGGGGTGTCCCTCCATCATCACCTGTCGTTAAAAGAATTCGAAGGTGGTGCACCCGAGGCGAATAACCTATGGCCAAGCCCGAGTTGGGCAGGGAAAGGGACTCACTTTGGGGAAAAATCTCATATTGGGAGTTTGGGCGACTAGGTACCAGATGTACGGTGCAGGGGGCCCTGGCAGTCGCCAATCCGGCTTTCCTTCGGCTGGCGAGTCTGGGGACTTGGCATACTGCTCCTGGGCCTCCTGGTCAACCTCCCCTTGCTTCTCTAACTCTCCATTCTTCCACCAGCCCGTCTCGTTCATACAACGCGTCGGGCTCCCAGTCAATGAGCATACAGCACCCCCTCAATTCCGTCGGTCTTTTAGAGTTGGGGTGCAGCCTCCTGTTCTGTTCTGCCTAGGACCAGGAGGAACCGGCACACTGATACCGAGCCCGCGATGGTAGTCCCTACAGAGAAGGGCCATTAATCCAGGAGTGCCAAGACCTGCAGGAATTCGAGTGGGGAAGGCTGGATCATGAATTGGGACAGACTGAGGGCAACGGAACTTCACTTGGGGCAACCCTGGTGTCTCACGCCACACCCACAACTCCATAGGGCTCTCTCTCTCTCCCTCCCTCCCTCCCTCCCCCCTCCCTCCCAGAAAGAAGGGAGGGGCTACCCTGAGGCAGAAGCAAGGAAAAAGGAAAAGCATGGTGTAAGGGGAGGTGAAGCGAACTGAGGAGCCCAGAGATATCTCAGAGATTAGAGGAAAAAGAGAGAGAGTCGCAGGAACAAAGAGGACCCAAACTGCTGGGATAAAGACGAAGTCCTCCAGACCCTGAAAGGAGACGGGACTGCAGGGAGACCCTCTCCACGGGCCACATTTCTGAGACGTGGGTCTCAGTCCTCAGTGGTGACTGAGACATGTAGGGCACAGTCTGGAAGCGGTGGGTTTTAGATGACTCCGAGGCAGGGAGCTAGCTGCTGGGGTCCGGGGGGTACTAACAGTCCCCGTGTATTTATTGGTGGAGGCTGGAGCAGAGGTTTGCAGAGACCCCAAATTGGAGATCCAGGGTGGCCTCAAAATGTTCCCATTGAGCCGACGTCCGAGCGCGGGCTCTCCACGAGCAACTGCGATTGGGACACTTAACAAGGCGTATACGTGTCCGCAGTGCCCAGCTTCGCCTGGCAAGAGAGGCTTAGCTGAACCGTCCGGATTTTCTGCCTAGGCGGCCAAATAATTTCTGCGGAAAGCGCGCTTTTGGGGTCTGAAGAGAGTCTTAACAGTGTACTGTTCATAAACCTTTTAGGTCAAATTTTGGTTAAAATACATTCATTTTGTTAAAAGTACGCTCTACCCCATCTTTCCCAAAGACGCAAGAGGAAAGAGGGTTTTCATAGTCATTGGAGGCAATTTCTTTTTCTTTCTAACAGTTAGGGGGGGAAAAAAAGTCTGGCCACGTTCTCATTGCCCAGGGCGACTGGACCCCCAGGCGCGGCGTCGGTGGGGCAGGTCCCCTGCAGACAGCAGCCGGGACACCCCCAGCCAGCGCACTTTTCGCCCACCTTTCTCTTCCTGTCCTAAGCTGGCAAGCAGAAGGCGACGCGGGAGGCGGGTCGCGTCTCCGCATCCAGCGAATTCGCGATTTTCTAGCTTTCGGTGTCCGGGTAGGGGGGGCGGTGTGTCTCAGAAAACCCCATATTTCCCGCTATTCTGGCCCCGGGTAAAGAGGGGTGCACCGGCGCCCCAGAACTGGGCCTGAATGCCCAGGGAGCTGCGTTCCTGTGTCCCCGTCTGCGCCCGGGAGAGGTTTCTCACCCCACAGCCCAGGGCCCTCTCACTGGCGTTTTCACTTTAGGACACCGACCTCCCCTGCTCAGGACCTCCAGGAGGGAGGAGCCCTCCCAGCATCCCCGAAGGCTTAGGTACAAAATTTCCGGGAGGGTGACCTGGGGCAGGCTCCTGATTGAGTCGAAAGATGGGATGGGAGGATCTGTGCATGGTTTCTGGACAAGGAAGGTGTCCCGGGACGCAGTTGCACACGCAGCCTGAGTTCTGGGCTGGCTGGGTTGAGTCAGGTAAAGACCCGGCTGGTTCCCAGCCTCTGTCCAAGCCTTCCCGCGATGAACCCAGCAGTTTGGGGCGCCTTTGCATTCCCTGGCCACTTGGGGTCGCACTTTATGCCTGTTTGAACCTCTCTACAGCGGTCAGAAGCTTGGATCAGCTTAATCCTTACAAAACGTTCAGACAAAAACAGGGCCGGTTCCCCAGCAGCTAGAGTCACTCGCTGCACCAGCCGCTGCCGGCCTCGGCTCGGAGCCTCGGAGCGCTCAGGTTTCTGAACTTCTGGCCAGTGAAAGGGATTCGGAGCCTTGGGACAGATTCTTTCTTGGTTGCCTTCATCGGGAGCATTTGGTGGTGGTGGGGGGGGTGGTGGAGGGGGGTGAGTGCAAGAAACGGCGAGGCCGGTGGGTCACTGAACGCACCGGGAGAACAGCATCTCTTGGTCGGAGGAGCCTCCCCGGAGGTTAAGAGTTAGGTCTGAGCACAACTCTTGGCTCCCCAACCCCGCCATCGCCCAGCGCAGAAAAAGGCGCAGACCTTCGGAAACCCAGGCACGCACTGCACTCGCCTCTTCTGCCCGCAGCCGCGAGGCCACACGGAGCGTTGCCCACTGGGCGGGGGCCGCTTGGGAACAAAGGGCCCGGGAAGCGTCATCCCGGCGCTTCTGCTGAGCCTACTTGAGGGTGACACGGGCCGAGGTTGGGCGTGCAAAGAGTGTCGAGGTGAGCGTGCGGGGAGGGGGAGTGGAAACACGGGCTTGACCCAGAAGTGGGGTGCACACCCAGGCCGAGCGCGCTGGGATCCCGACGCAGACCGGGTGGGGGGTTGGGCCCAGGCCGGCGGTCCCACTGGGCTCCAACCCTCTCCCTTCCAGGCCTCCTCGGCTCGGGGGCTGCTCCGGCCTCCAGTCAGCTGACGCGGGGGGCGGGGGAGCTGTCAGGCACGCCCCGCCCAGCGTCGCGGGGCCGCCGGGGCCGAGCGGCTATTGGCCAGCCGGCCGGGCCGCCCGGGCCCCAGCGCTCCAGTGACATCAGGAAGGCGATAAAAGGCTGCGGCGGCGCCAGATCCAGCACAGCTGCACCGCCGGGCTGCGAGCGGCTGCAAGCAAGAAAGCCCTAGAGCCCAAGAGCCCTAGAGCGAGCGGCGGGCGCTCGCCCCGCGCCTCCCCTCTGCCCCAGCGCGCATCTCGCCAGCTTCTCCACCCCGCCTGGCTGGACCCTACTCGGTCCCCGCGCGGCCACAGCCCCGAGCTCCGGGGCAGCACAGGCAGCCTCGGGAGGACTCTCCGGCGCGCCGCCGCGTCCCCAGACAAAGGCTTGGCCGGCGGCCCCGGCCCGCTGCGCTCTGGGCTCCCCGCCTCCCTCCCCGGCTTGCCCAGCTCTTCGCCCCCGCGCTGCTCGGCGCGTCCCGGCCGGCCGCAAAGTTTCCCCCGCGGCAGCGGCGGCTGAGGCTCGCGTCAGCGATGGCCGCGGAGCTGACCATGGGGCCAGAGCTGCCCACCAGCCCGCTGGCCATGGAGTACGTCAACGACTTCGATCTGCTCAAGTTCGACGTGAAGAAGGAGCCGCTGGGGCGAGCGGAGCGTCCGGGCCGGCCCTGCACGCGCCTGCAGCCTGCCGGCTCCGTGTCGTCCACCCCGCTCAGCACCCCGTGCAGCTCGGTGCCTTCTTCGCCCAGTTTCAGTCCGACTGAACAGAAGACCCACCTCGAGGACCTGTACTGGATGGCGAGCAACTACCAGCAGATGAACCCCGAGGCGCTCAACCTAACACCGGAGGACGCGGTGGAGGCGCTCATCGGCTCACATCCAGTGCCACAGCCGCTGCAGACCTTCGACGGCTTCCGCGGGGCGCATCACCACCACCACCACCATCACCCTCACCCGCACCACGGGTACCCAGGCGCCGGCGTGGCTCATGATGAGCTGGGCCCGCACGCGCACCCGCACCACCACCACCATCACCAAGCATCCCCGCCGCCATCCAGCGCCGCCAGTCCCGCACAACAGCTGCCCACCAACCACCCGGGGCCGGGGCCGCACGCGGCGGCCGCGGCAACCGCTGCGGGTGGCAACGGTAGCGTGGAGGACCGCTTCTCCGACGACCAGCTGGTGTCCATGTCGGTGCGTGAGCTGAACCGCCACCTCCGGGGCTTCACCAAGGACGAGGTGATCCGCCTGAAGCAGAAGCGGCGGACCCTGAAGAACCGGGGCTACGCCCAGTCGTGCAGGTATAAACGCGTCCAGCAGAAACACCACCTGGAGAACGAGAAGACGCAGCTCATTCAGCAGGTGGAGCAGCTTAAGCAGGAGGTGTCCCGGCTGGCCCGCGAGAGAGACGCCTACAAGGTCAAGTGTGAGAAACTCGCCAACTCCGGCTTCAGGGAGGCGGGCTCCACCAGCGACAGCCCCTCCTCTCCCGAGTTCTTTCTGTGAGTCGTGGCGGGTCCTGGCCCCCGCCCTTGCCCTGGCCCGGGCTCCCTGTCCTGTGTCCCCAAGCCCTGGACTCCCTGCCCCTGCCATGGCCCTGGCCTTGACCTGTTTGACTCGAGCGAGAGGGAGGAAGGACGCTCCGGCTGCGGGAGACGGGTGGGAGCGCGGGCGGGTAGGAAACCTTGGCCCTGGACAGAGCAGCGCTTGCCAGCGCAGCCTCCTAGACTCCGGTAGAGCCAGAGAGACCGGGGGAGGGTGGTGGTGGTGGTGGGAGGTTCCGGAGTAACTTTTCTCCGGGCTGGAAGGCCACGAGGCATCTTCCGAGGAGTCGCCAAGGCCGTCTGGAGACTTACGGCTCTGTGAACTTTATGAGTGCCAGGGCCGCCGCTTCGCACTCCAGAGCTCAATCCGCCCCAGGAAGAGCAGAGGAGAGAAGAGGGACCCTGCTGTCCCCACAGGCGCGAGGCAAGGCTCAGCAAAGGGGAGGAAGAACAGAGGCACCTGTCTGTCCAGAGTCCGGAGAACACTGGCTCTCAGCCGGGAGACGCGGGCCTTAGGACTTTCGGCGCGCTGAAAAAAAAAAAAAAATCTCATCAGTTTTATTGCCTGCTCGATTATATAGAAAAATACGAAAATCTGCATTAAAAATATTAATCCTGCATGCTGGACATGTATGGTAATAATTTCTATTTTGTACCATTTTTCTTGTTTAACTTTAGCATGTTGTTGATCATGAATTATAACCCCCTTGTTTCTTTGGGTGAGAAGGGATCCAGTTCCGAAACTCCTGCAGCTGCCAGCAATCGGAGTTTCTGTAGCCCGGCAGGCTTGTAAATACCCGCCGGGCCAAAACACACTGAGAACGTGGCAGCAAGCTGAGTCTTTGTTTGGGTTTATTATTATGGCATTTTTGTTTGTTTGTTTGTTTGTAAGTAAAAAGAAAGCGAGAAAGAAAGATTTAAAAATCTGGACATTTAGCATCATATAACTTTGTCCTGGGAACCCTTGGAAGTTGTAGGCTTTCTTCCCTTCTCCATTCCATATTTGGTCCTCCTTTCCTTCCCACTTTGGGTTTTTAATTTTGGTGTTGAAAAAAACAATATAAGGGAGAGGCAGCTGTGGAGTTCCACACCTTGGAGCAGGAGCCTGTCCTCTACCCTGCCTGGCCTTCCAGCCAAATCTATACCCCTAATCTGACAGGAAAAGAAATCAGATCTACTCCTTGACAATTTGCATCATAAGAAGTCATCCCAGGGCAGGTTTGGAATCCTTCTGGAAGGTGCTAATTGTAAGGCCCCCCAGGGCTTAGGGTGAAAGGATTCCTCACACCCTTGATATTGGTCTGTGATGCTTAGGCGCTTCCATTGAACCAAATGTCATTTTCAGAATGTACCAGAAACCCAAACATTCGCAAGTAATTATGCAACTTTCAAGTGTGTTCTTTAGACCAATGCATTGTTTCTTTCCCTGCTTTTGAGAGAGCAAGAAGAGTTACTGGCAGTGTCCCTCCTACCTTTGGTTGTATAGTAGTTATAGGGAAGGTCTGGGTGTTTTTCTTTATTGTTACTTTTATTTCTGCAGGTCAGTAAAAGGATTTTAAGTTGCACTGACAAAAATACCAAAACGAAAGCATATTTTTTAAGTTCCCATTTGAAATTGCTGGCGCTGCTGGCTGGATGCTTTTTTTGTTTTTGAGTTTGTATTAGTTGATAAATTAGCAGTAATAACAAGATTGTATGAACCGCATGGTGCTTGCAGTTTTAAATATTGTGGATATTCGTCCTGCATCAGAAACGAACTTTGGTTTTTACCGATTCAACTGTGTTGAAATCAAACTTGCCGCAACAGAAATTGTTTTTATTTCATGTAAAATAAGGGATCAATTTCAAACCCTGCTTATGATATGAAAATATTAAAACCTAGTCTTATTGTAGTTTTAATTCAGACTGGTTTCTGTTTTTTGGTTATTAAAATGGTTTCCTATTTTGCTTATTAAAACCATGGAAATGGTGTTTATTTAGAGGACTCTGTGTTTGCATGATTTTAACTCTTTTGCTTCTTCAAGGGTTGTAGATCAGATTTGGTACATTCTCTGGCAATGGAACCCAAACCAAGGTGGGCAGATCTCTCCCTGCAGTGTGTGACGAGTGTGTGTATGTGTGCCTCAACTGTATTCTCTGCTTGTCACCCTAGGTTCAAATCCTGGTCAAATCCTGGTAAGCCCAGAGGGTGCAGGTCTGAAAGGGACTTGCTACTTTTACAGACTTTGGGGCTTGATGGGGACTGGCCTTCTAGCTTGCCTGCTGCTGGAGTAGTGAGTGGCAGAGGCCAGGAAGCCCAGAGTTGCCCCTTGGATGGTCTTTTCGGTGCTCAGGCCCAGCTAAGCTTCAGCTCTTGCTTTTCTGGGTCTCAATGTCTTTCAGCCCCGCACTTCTGCTTAGAGCTAGGAGTCCTGTTCCCCCAGGCAGGTCGAAGCAGGTGAGACCTGCCACTAGGTCTTAGGGTACCTTGCAGGATCTTTCTGGAAGGAAGCCCCTCCTTGGGGATTTCTTTCCAGGGCAGTGTACTCATGGTTAGAGGGGCTCTCATCCTGAAGGACATCGAGGGGAGTGGCTTGGATTTCAGCAGCTTCTCAAAAAGGAGACTGGGTGATCCCCGTGCAGCTCCAACTGCAGCCTGAAGATTCTTGAATAAGGAGGTGGCCCTAGACCCTTTCTTTTCCTTGATCCTTGGAAGAACAGTGGCTACCTTGTGGCTCCCAACTCTTCTCAGCCCTTTGGAGTCCTGTCTAGGTTAGAGTTGCCTTTAGATACTTCTCTCTGGGAAGTGGAATTAAACTCCCAAACCTTAGAAGAGGTCTGCACTCTTGACAATGACTAGATCTGGAGGGATGTCCAGTCTCCATGCAGACTCAGTACTGCACCCAGAAATTCTCTGGTCCAGAGTTCCTAACATGGAATTTCAGGACCCTGATGGGGGAGTTGTCAACCTAAACAGTGGAGCCCCAGCCAAGAACCCAATCAGGGCAGAGCCTGGAGGAGGAAGGGAATTGGCCTGACTCCCTGGAGACTGGGCTAGTAACTGGGGTCTGAGAAAGAGACTTAGAGACCTAATAAATAAAGCTACAAACAATAGTAAACACAATGTACATCTGTAGAGCTTTGGTGTTGTGGTTCCAGCTCCAGTTGAATTCCCAAACTGAGTCCACTTCCCCAGTGGAAAGAGCAGCTGGCAGGGGAAGGCTTTGGCCTTCACCTGGGAAGAGGCAGCAGAGCCCCTTTCTGTAACTTTCCTCTTGTGTGTAGGTGCAAAGGGTGTAATTGGTTTATAATTTCATGTGTAAGTAATAAGTTCCCCTACTTGTACAGATAACCCTCCTTTAAGGCAGAGAAGCCTCTGTCAGGGTTCAAGCCTCATCACTCCAAAGGGCCAATGTGTGGCGCCTGCAGTGATCAAGGGTGATCAGGGACTCTGGTGACAGAGGCCTTGGATGGTGGCCTGACTCTTTCTGGAATCATTCTAAGCAGACTGGCCGTCCACATCTGGCATCATCAAGATTTTCAGAGAAGCCTCCACTCTAGGGAAGGTTGCAAATTCCAAAGAACTGGCTTTACTTCCTTAGAGCACAGAGACATCTAGATGGATCCAATGAGACCACCAATCACAGTGAACCCAGAAAGGACAAAGGGATGCCACCAGTTCAGAGTGACCAACTGCATCTTGGAGAAGATGACAACCCCACGACATAGCCGTAGTGACACACCAGGCTACTCATTGAGCACTAACTCACCAGGGCACACATAGTCAGGCAAAAGCTGGGTAGTCAGCAAGTTTTCGGAGAAGGCCAGGGCTTGCCGGGCCTTGAGGGTGGGTTCCTATAGCAGGCGTGCCCTGGCCGTGTCTTGGCTCAAAGCAGGCCATTCTGACCCGCGGAGATGCCCACAACCTGAGAAGAGGGAACTGGGTCTGGAGGATGCCCAGCTCTTCGCACCCTGGCGGCGACACTCAGCGACCTTCATCCTCCTTTTCCGTTTCCACTTCTTCCTTCGGCTCCAAGGGCACCTCGGGATCCTCCACGTCCCTGGAGAGAAAAATCCTCCCAGCACCGAAATCTTCCAAGCCGACCCTGATCCCATGTAGACAGGCTGGCGCCTGCAGCCGGAGACGCACAGGGAGACAGACACACTTAGACACTAGGACGCACGCACGCACTGGGCACCGGCAGGCCTCGAGAATGGGCTCCGTTTCGGGTCACGCTCTTTGCTGGGGCAGCCGCGATCCGGTCCGGGTCGAAGCCCGCTTCCTGCCCCATTGGATTTCACCGACTTGCGGGACCAGGGGCCACGCCACGGTCACCTCCTTCAGCCTGGCAGGGAAGACGCTCGGTGGCTTTCCGAGGAACCTGGGACTCATGTTTATCAGCTACTTTCCCTGGGTTCTTGGTTTCTCTGTCCCTCCCTCTCTTCCCCCCTCCCTATTCCCTTCCTCTTCCTCCATCCATCTCTTCCATCTTCTCTTTCTCCCTCTCCCACCCCCTTTTCCATTTCTTTAGCGTTTCTTTCCTAGTCTTTTGCCTTCTGTTTTGTTTTTCCCTCAGCCTTTTTATCCCAGGGCTGCCTGACTGGAAGAGTGTCCTGAGATGTCTGAAGCCAGCCAGGAGGAATTGAAAGGATGGAGAGGTAGGTCTGTAGTCCCAGAGTCTCTGCCCAGCACAGACATCTGGCTGGTTGTGCAGGGTCTGGACTTCACTCTGCCCACTCTCCACAGTTCCATTCCAGTAATATTCAGTATGCTTGGCAGGGGACTGCTGCTGTTCTATGGCTGGGTCTGTTTAAATCTCAGTGGGAGGGATCTCTGGGGAAGCTGGTTGTAGACTCAGGTCCCTTTTGCAGACACAGACTTCCCTCTGTCACTGGCCTCTGGACATTTCTGGGGTAGGACAGCCCCCTGTCCTTGCCCTTCAGAGTTCCCTTCTTCCTGCTGGCCACTCCAGCTTAAGCTGTTTAGGGGCCTCTTGAACCCAAACTCACAGTGGAAACCATCAGGAATCACATCGTGTACACTAGGCTCATCATTTGGCTTTCTCTGTGACCTGAGGTCTTAGTTTCTAACACCCAGGCCAAACCCCTTCTCCTCTGACACTCTTCTACTCCAGGAGTGAGTCTTTAGTTCATCCTTTCTGTAGAGGGAGCCCGGAAACTCTGGGCTGGGTTAGAGTTTCCTGAGATTCCCTAGCATGCTTTCAGATGCAAAACTCTGGGCCTTCTGGGCCCTTTGATTTTCTCCAAGGACAACTAGGAACTGGCTTCTTGCATAGTTGTCACCTTTCCCCGGGCCAACCCACAGTCTGAAGGCCCGGCCCCTCAGCCTGAAGAGGGCTGTGTTGGTGTTTAGATTTATAATGTAAAGAACCCTTCTCCCCTCACCGAATAAAACTCCTCCAATGGTGCATCTGGGAGGCAGCACCTCTTTAGTAGTTGCCAGAGAGAGAGAGAGAGAGAGAGAGAGAGAGAGAGAGAGAGAGAGAGAGAGAGAGATTGGTTGGAAGAGCACCCCATACTGGGAAGGCACTCCAGATTCCAGTAAAGGGAGGACCCTGGGTCCCAGGTAGACGGGCACTGGGTTGCAGGAACAGCCACCACCATGGGGCCTGTCTCCAGGTTCAGAAGATTAGCTGTTTTTTTTTTTTTGAGACGGCAGCCATGGCTGCTGGTGGAGTTTCCTCTTTCACAAAGGTTTCTGGTTCCTGGCTGGGAAGCACACACATTTGGTTCATCAAGCCCCCCACAGTGCCTCAGCATCTTATATACCTCCTCTCCTTCATCTGAACACCCCTTTACCTTGTTTTGCACAAATTTCCATGCCTTCTATTTCTTAATATTTTTCTTTATTGTCCTGCATATGTTATCCTAAATGATGCACTTCGATCAGATCAGAGTGAACCATTCTCACTTGGAAGAAATTAAATGTGTAAGGAAAGTTGTGACTCCTTTGTGGAAAAACCACCTAAATTAATAATAAGGATTTGTTCTGAAGCAGCACTCAGTTTTAGTGGCCTCTCGGCATTTTTCCCACGTGAAGTTACTTTTAGGTAAAACAGCAGCTATCATTACATATTCTGTTTTATTTTTTTAAATCAAAAAATAGATGCTGTCTTTGGTTTGGAGGGGGCAGCTACAGAGGTAGTAGGAGTTAGCCTGGAACGTTCTGGAAGAAGCAAACTACTTATGGTGCTAGAAGGCAGATAAAGTCCATAAATCCAATATTTATATTGGGGTAATTTCTTTTTGGGGCCCTGTGGATCTAAGCAGAGCTGGGACTTCCTGTACTTGAGGATGCCGGTTTCAGGGTCTGGGTGTATGGCAGACCGGGACCTGGCCTGTGATTCCGTTACAGGAGCCCAGGCTGCACCTGGCTCACACTTAGCATCCTTGTTTCTTCTGATCTGTCGCCCTCATTGACTGCCAGGTGCAGACCATTGAGCTCTACCACCCAGGAGGGGCCATGGGAACAGGCTGCTCTGGCTCTGCCTGCCTAGGGTGGATAGAACAGGGCTTTACTCCATGGGCTCTGTCCCATGCCCCTGCCTTCCTTAGTGTCTTGGAAATCTGCAGAGCCTGGTACACAGGATCCTTTCCATGGACAAGGAACAGGCAGGACACAGAATAAAAGAGATGTGGTTCAACCACAGCTTTAGTCTCCCGCTTTTTCATTTAACCCTACAGTGTGGGCTCTCCACTGGTCAAGGCAGAGGGACAAGGCCCCATGTGGTCACCTTTTGCTTAGGGTCACCAGGGGAGGATCTAGCAGAAATTCACAACTATCTAGTGATGAAATTTAATTTTTGAAATCAAACCTCATAAATCCTTATATAAATTCCTTATCAGAGACATTCAACCCTAAGAAGGAGACGGGGTGGGAAACAGCTGTCTTTGGGGACAGTTTCTTCTCTCAGAAACTGACTACTCTTTGCAGAGGGTAGTTGTTGATTTTTTTGGGGGGGGGGTGCTT